TATAGTAATATAGTAATTCAGAGAGGAAGGGAGAGGGAGAGAGAAATAGGAACATGAATGATGAGAGAGAATCATTGATCAGCTGCCTCCTGCATGCCCCACACTGGGGATCGAGCCTGCAACCCAGGCATGTGCCCTAACCGGGAATCGAACCATGACCTCCTGGTTCATAGGTTGACACTCAACCACTGAACCACACTGGCTGGGCCCCCACAGTCTCTCTTTAGCAATAAAATAAAACCTTCCCTGACTACCACCTACCTCACAGGGTTGCTGTGATGAGCAAGCGAGGTTACAGACCTAGAAGAACCCCACAAATTGTAAGACATTATTTAAACATCGGGTATTGGAGGTTATTATATTTCCTTTACAGAATATCATGGAGGGAGCTACGTGACTGGAAAATTAGCCTTTGGAATTTCCTCCGTCCACTTCCCTTCCAGTCAGCAGAGTGGCCAGGGCAGGCCTGTGGAGGCTGGGGGAGTGGATGGGGCTCCTGGCCAGGCTTCACTGGAGCCACTGGAGTTTGATGGTGGACTGGCCGAGGCTCTGCAGCTTGCCCATCATGGCAGCCTCTGAGGATAAGCCACTCTGGCCAATGGAAGAAGGAACATTTTGAGGGTCTAAGGTGCCCCAAAGAGCCCTGTCTTATGAGCCAAGAGACCTAATTCTATCAGTTCTGCTATGTACTAACTGTGCGATCTTGAAGGAGTCACATCTTTGTAAAAAGAGGGTGTCAGAGATGAGGTCTACCCAGATTTCTGTGCCTCAGTTTCCTCCTCTGTAAAACAAGGGCCCTTCTGCTAGGATTGCTGCGAGGATTAGCTGCTCTACGTATAGCACTTGGCGAAGAGTGAGCAGGAGATAAGCATTAGCTATCGTGTCCTGATTATAAAATTAAAGGGTGTGCAATAAAGTAACTCTACTTACCAACGCTTAAAAATGGTCACAATGGTAAATTTCGTTATATACATTTTCCCATAATTTTTTAAACATTAAAACACATAAATTAATGAATAAAGGGTCTTCTTCAAAAGCACGGCTTGTTAGGATGTTTCTGAAGGTACTTCAACGTCTCCAAAGCCAAGAGAGGGAAGACAGGTGGAGCCGCCCTGCAGGCCGGGCTCCTGCTCCCCTCCTCCCCGCTGCCACCGCGTACCTTTGCTCTCTGAGGCAGGTTCATCACGGCGTCTGGCTTGAAGTCGTTCTTGTTCTTCCGGCAGAGCACGGCAGTGATGATGATGATGATGACCGTGACCACGGCGATGGGCGCCAGCACCGCGGCGATGATCCACAGGTTGTTGGGTGGGTTCTTCACCACGGCTGAGGGAAGAGCCAGCGGGAAGCACATGACAAGGAGCACTGGGAAGGGGAAGGCCACCGGAGAGAAATCTCCCTCCACCCCCCAGTCCCAAGTCATGGGATGGTTAAGAGGATTTGGGATCAGAAAGACTCTTGCCTTGGGCAAGTGACTCAAGGTCTCTGAGTCTCAGTTTCCTCATCTGTAAAATGGGGCTATCACATTGAGAGGCGTCAGTGAGACGAGACACGTGGTGCTTTGGTAGCTGCTCAATAAAATGCTAGCCTTCACTATGACTAGGAGGAGGAGGAAGAGGGAGACATGTCAATTTTCCTCATTGGTGATGTCCATGAATCAAAAGAGAAGAAGAGAGAATAAATCTGAGCATTAGAGTAGTGCTGAATCAGAAGGCAAAGGCCACAGAGAGAGGACTCTAAATATTGTTGTGAACTCACCCTCTGAGTGAGCAATGATTAAAGTGTAACCAGTGGAAACCTCCCTTCCACCTTCCCAAATGGCTGGCTGGGGAAACTTGGAAATGCTTCCGTCTAGTCAAAAGGATCTGCCTGGCCCGGCTGGTGTGGCTTAGTGGTTGGGCGTCAACTATGAACCAGGAGGTTAGGGTTCGATTCCTGGTCAGGGCACATGCCCGGGTTGCGAGCTCAATCCCAGTAGGGTGCACGCAGGAGGCAGCCAATCAATGATTCTCTCTCATCATTGAAGTTTCTATCTCTCTCTCCTTCTCCCTTCTCTCTGAAATCAATATATATATATATATTAAAGTTGAATGACAATCTAAATGAATTACCTTTACCCCTGTTGCAATTTGGCTTCCCATGCAGATTTTCATACAGGATAGAGTAATGGGCAGTTAAAAGGAGAAATACCCCCTCCTTGATAGCTCTAATCCATATTTTAAATAGACATACTGCCAATCTGGTTTATACATCAATATCTTGGCAAGTCTGGTTAGCATGAGTTGACCCTCCTGATCCTGCTGAACTAGACTGGCAGAGCTGAGGACCAGACTCTGGAATATAAAGACCCGCCGGTAAGGGCCCCGTGGTGAGGACCTGCCCGGGGAGCCAGCCCGCCTGTCTCTCTAACTGCAACCACCCCCGACTTCAACTGGTGTCGTGACAGCCAAGATCTGCCTCTCACCAGGCAGCACTTAGGTCTGAAGTGCTGTTAGTGCAAAAGAACTTCTTTTCCCCAGTTTCTGTCAATCGGTGATTAATCACATTATTAACTTCTGAAAACAGCTCATTAGATAATGTGCTTCTGTTGACATTAAACATTTAATTGCTGCTGCTTTTAGTAATTTGGTATTTATAGTTTTATGCCTTCAACGTTTTTTAAAGCTTAGACCCGCTGTGAAAAATACCAATATGCCTCTTTTGGGGCTGTGCTATTCTATCCCGATAAAGGAAAATGTATAGTGCATTAGAACATGATATGCTAAACATACATCTAATTTTTTTCATTAGCAGGAATGAAGTATTGACATGTGTTCTGCTCTCACTCAGCTTTATGGTTTTGGTGGATACGTTCCTTCTCAGAGCAGTCTGTAGAATCCTTTCACCTCTATTTAAATGAGGAGAGAATTGATTTATCTTATGTACATTAATAAATAGATTTAACAGTCAAAGAGACAGTAAAGTGAGGTCAACTGAAGTCATCCAAACACAATATATTCATTGGCATAATGATCTAGATCTACAAAGTCATGTACAGAGGTGAAAAGAAACAACTGGTTATTTAACTTGCAAGAACTGCAGTAGAGAAGGGCAGGAAAAGGAGACAACGCTCTGAGCCTCTCCTGTGCGGTAGGCACTGTGATAGGACCTTTGCCTGGGGCTCTTCTTATCCCCAACTTGCAGGTGAGCAAACTGAGTCCCAAAGGGTGAGGTGCTTTTATGAAAAATCATCTCCCTGAAATACACAGTTGAAGTCAGTTCTGAGTTCTCTCACACACACACACACACACACACACACACACACACACACACGTATTTATCAGAAAGAATGAGGTCAAAGGATCCACATAATCTAAACTAAAAATATTCTTACATGGAACAAATGTTGAAAGGGGAAGAAATCTATTCAAAAACGTTTCCTGCTCATTTTTTGTGGCTGTGAAAGCTCGTGACTGGTGTGAGTGGGTGGGGAGGAGGGCCGAGCCCAGGGCCCAGCAGCTGTGAGTGCTCCGCCCACGTTGCTCTCCTGCCCAAACCACCCCACGGCTGTCATTCCACTCGGGGTGTGGCCCACGAGGCTCATGGGGGCCTCTGGCCTCACTGCTGCTTCCCTCAGTGACTCCTGGCTGGTCTCACACCCTCCCCTCTGCCCGGAACCTTGTCCCCAGATATCCTCAGGTGGTCACTCAAAAGTTACTACTTCAGTGATCCTCTTCTTGACACCCTCCCCCTAACAATTTAAAATCACAACGGTTATCTCCTGGACATCCCCTAGCCCTTCCCTGCTTAATTTTTCTCCATGGCACTTATTAGCATCTAACATATTATGTGTTTTGTTTACTTGATCTGCCCACTGAGGAATGTGAGCACCACGTGGTTAGATTTTGTCTGTGTTATTCATTGCTGCATCTCCAGTGCCTAGGAAGTTCCAGGCATATAACAGGCGCCTAAAAAATGAATTTGTTGAAAAATGAATGATCGTGAGTCCCTTGCTTTCTGTAAATGACATTTTTGGGATACATGCCTGATGGTCCTGTAAGATAAACCCGTTCCTGCTCTGGTCTGGGTCTGTGTGGGGAGAATCTTTTCTACTCCATCAGCTAGATAACCACTATGAAGGCCTCTCACTCCAGATCCTGCACAGGGAGCAGGTGAAAACCTTCATAGGAAACGCAGCCGCTTCTTTAGAATTCACTGCTGCCTCATTACCTAGAGGTGATGGGGGTCGAGTGTCACTGCACGCGCCACTGAAGGGCACTGCACACTGGCCCAGAACTGGCCATTTATTTTATCTTATTATTTGCTAATTCTCACCGGAGGGTATTTTTCCATTGATTTTTAGAGAGAGCAGAAGAGATGAGGGAGAGGGGGAAAGAGTGAGAGAGAGAAACATTGATCTGAGAGAGACACATCGATTGGTTGCCACCTGCATGGGCCCAGACTGGGACCTGGGACAGAACCTGCAAGCCAGGTACATGCCCATTAACCGGAAATCAGGCCCATGACCCTTTGGTGGGCGGGCCAATGCTCCAACCACAATGGTGTGGTGACTGGGGAGTGGTGATTGTGGTGTGGGGAGGGGGCAGGTATACCAGGGCATAGAGGGGATAAATGGTGATGGAAAAAAATTAAATTAAAAAAAAGAAGACACTGGAACAGAATGTTAACACCCCCCTCAGAGGGACAAGGTGTTCATTCAACACTGTGACTATTCAAAGTGCTGACCTCAGATTCACATTGCAGGCTGGTTTCAAAACCATTAGGAGAAAATTGGATTTAAAACATCTCTGTTCCTCTCTTCTTCACTGGCCTCAGCTTCTTCCTCATCCAATCCTGGGCATGGAGGCATTTCCCAGGGTCTGTCCTCTAGCTATATCTCTCCCCGTGGACTCGGATTGTCTCTGGGATTTTAACTCTATCCTGTATCTGGGACAGTCTCAAAATCTAGTGTTAATTTTAACCTCTCTCCTGAGATCCAGGCTTGAATTCCAACTTTCTTAACTTCAGCCATCAATATCCCATCAATACCCCCTCAATATTTTATCAGCACCTCCTTGATATCCCCAAAGCACCCCTTAATATCTCATTACTTTAAACTCAACGTGGCCCAGACAGAATAAATTACTTCACCCTTTTAAAAATGCCTTTCCTCTCCAATTCCCTTTCTACTTTCATTACTAGCACCCTATTCCATGAATTACTATATGGGTTCTTAACCTTCAAATCACCTTTCCGTCTTCATTCCCTCTCTCCTTTAGTCCTTCTACCTTGTGGATAAATGAGACATTCACCCACCACTGAGTAAATGCTTAGTAGGTGCCCCAGGATTGTACTGAGCCCTTTCCATGCAATAATTCTCTCCTTTAGTCCTCTGAGTAGTTCTACTAGGTCTGATTTTTATATTACCACTTTACAGATGAGGAAAATGAAGGTCAGGGAAGGTCATTCATTGGTCTCTGAGCTCCATAGCTACAAAGTGGAAGAGCAGGGGGTGGGGTGAATCCAGGTCTGTCTTAGTGCAAAGGCTCTGCTCTCAACTGCTCTGCGTTGGTGTCTTCCAACTGTGTGCCTCCCTCGGGGCCTGGCACAGGCATTTAGCAAAGGTTGGTCTTTTGCCTTCACAAGAACAGAGCCAGGCAGTTGTTGGGGCTGGATGTCCAAAGATAAATGAGATGTGGTAGCTGCTTTTAAAGGGCTCAAGAGGGAGAGAGCAACAACAACTCGTTTGCTCAATGTGATGAGGGCAATGGAAGCCCCTGGAATGAAGAAGGATTGGGGGAAGTGGACTCTGCTTCAGGGGTCGAGGAAGGCTTCAGAGGAACAGGGAAAGTGAGGGATGAATCCTCCTGTGTGGCTGAAGCATTAGGCAGGAAGGAGAGAAAAGTAGGCGGTACAGCTGGAAAAACAGCCCGGAGACCAGGTTGGGAAGTGAGCTGGACATTGGCGGAGTGCCTGCTGTGAAGGGCTTGGGAGACCCCTGTTACAGGGTCTGGATTTTATTCTGTGAACAGCGAAGACCCGTCCGATATACACCTTTTAATGGAGTAGATGTAAGATCAGAATCTGTGTTTCCCAAAGTATAGATAGTGATTCTAATTGCGGTATGGACGGTGCATTAATGACAAAGTGACTGAGGCTGAGTTATTTGGGAAGCACCTGCAAAGTCCGAGAGGACATAACTATGAAACGGAGAAAAGGAGCGAGGACTGTGAATCATGGTAGAAGGGAACTGAGAGGACCAGTGGACTCGGAGGAGACAAAGAAGCAAGGCTGAGGGACAGCAGCTTTGGAGCCAGGCTAACAGGGTCTGGAGTCTGGCTCTCGGAGTCATAGCCACATCTCCGGGCAGTCCCTTAGATGGCCCCTGGACTCTCACTTCCAAAAGGCTCCATGCATCTTCTCTGATACGATCTCTCTCCCACCAGTGCTCTCATACCTTCCACTGTTCCCCTTCAACCGCCATCAGCCAAGTCCCCTCAGCCTCAACCACTCCCCCTGACAGTCCATTTACCTCTTGCTCTACATAAAACCAGCTCTCGCTTTTCTGCCCCTTCCCCAGGCCTTCAACAGAAGTGAGGAGGCCACAGCACTGACAGGTCAGAGTAGAGGATGGACTAGGACAGGAGAAGTGATGCAGAAGAGACAGCGAGCCAGATAAAAAATCTTCAGTAAATTAATCATATTATGTACAGTCTCCTTCCCCTCCCACTAAGGCCAGACTCTGAAGCAATACATATCTCCAAGCCCATCAACTCCTCCTCGGGTTTCTGCACTCCGGGCTATTTGAACTCCTTGCTTTTCAAGCACACCTGGTGCTTTTCACTTCCATTCTTTCTCTCATGCTGCTCCCTCTTTCTGGAAAATACACCCTTCCCCTCTCTCTGCTGAAAGCTTAGCATGTGATACAGATAAGAACACGTTTGCAGTCAGACAGGTTCGTATCTTGGCGACCTCGGTACTAGTTCTGCAGTACTGACCAAGTTAGTTAATTTTCTGAGCCTCAGTTTCCTCATCTGTAATTTGCAGCTGAATAAAGTTGCCCAATGAGAGGAAAAAGTGAGAAAGTCTATATAAAGCAATGAAAATAGCAGCTGCACCTTAGACGGTTTGGTTCAGTGGATAGAGCGTAGGCCTGTGGACTAAAGGGCCCCGAGTTGGATTCAGGTCAAGGGCACATGCCTGGGTTGCGGGCTCAATCCCTAGTAGGGGGTTTGCAGGGAGCAGCTGAGCAATGATTTTCTCTCATCCTTGATGTTTCTCTCTCTCCCTCTCTCCCTTCCTCTCTGAAATCAATAAAAATATATTTAAAAAGAAAATAGCAGCTGCCACAGGGGAAGGTATTCAAAGACGCAGCTATTATTTTTAATTTCCCTTCTCTGTTCACTCTTTTCAGATGCCCCTTCAGAGCGAACCTCCCTGGGTTGACGCCGGCATCACACTGCCCCCTTGTAGCACTTCCCTGCAGTCCACGCCTTTGTATCCTGCATTAGCTCCCTCTCTGCTCTCGGGCAGGGCCCAGCTCTTGGCCATTTCTGTATGTCTTCCAGCACCAAGGCAGTTCATGTAGGACTCTACAGATACTTAGTGAACCAAATTATCTTCAATTCCCCAGCGGACAACCATGATCTCAGCTACGGTGATTTCTCTAGCTATTCACGAGGAGGAAGAGCGGGTAGAATCTGGGTGTAGCAATATCATTACTATCGTTCTAATATTGAAAACATATCCCTTACCCAAAACCTATGGCTTCAAACACAGCTGATTGATTTAAAAAGCTTCTAGTACAGAAATGTTTCTCTCTGGGTCCATTAACAGGAGCTTAGGGAATCACTTTCATTTGCAGGAAACATTTCATGGCGTTAAAAATAATGAATGGAAAGACTATCCCCTTACGGTCAGCTTGCAGGAGGACAACGTGATGCAAGGTCAAGGCCATCCTTTGGGAGTCAATGGTGCTCAGGATCTTGGCAGCCGCGGTCCCCAGCAAAGGCTTCCCGTTGTACAGGGTGTAGTAAGTCAGCTCCGCTGGGTCCTTGGGTCCCGGCACCCGCTGCATCTTCACCATCTTTCAGGAAAAAAGAGGCCATGTTTATAGGGCATCTTGCACAGACCCTGCAATCCCTCGGGCGATCGGTAGGCTCTCTCCTGGCTGCTGAAGCCTTCCGTGGCCAAGGGGACCCACAGTGTACATTTCAGACATCAACCTTAATGTACCTCCCTATCGCCAAACGCGTAAGAAGCCCTGCTGTCGCTGGCGGGGGAGACGGGGAGGAGGAAATATGAACATCTGGGCAGCACAGTTTGAGGCTGCAGAAGAAAACGCTGAAATGGAGATGTCTTCCAGCCTCCAGAGAATGCTGGCCTCATTTAAAAATAGGCCTGCACATTAATTCAGGGCACGTCAGGTTATTCTCAAGCAAGATCTCTAATTCCTGCAAAATTATACTATGTTAGTACAGTTTTGGTAATATTATTATATTTAAAATCCTTCTTTCTTGAAATATTTTTATTGCATGTAATATAATTATATTTAAAATCGTTTTTCTTGAAATACTAAGGTTTATTGCAAGTAACATTATTATATTTAAAAGTTTTTCTTGAAACATTAATGTTTATTGCATTTAACATTATTACACTTAAAATCATTTTTCTTGAAAAAATAAAAGAGTTGGGGGGGGGGGGAGACAAAAAACAAATTCCTGCAATTGCCAGAGAGGGGTGGGGAATGAACTTATATGTCTGCAATTCAAAAGTCCGATGATAAAAGCAGTACCTGGAGACTCAAAGTTCTTTTTCTAAAATAACCTTTGTTGCTTTTTCCCACGATACAAGTTACACATATTCCCTACAGAAAATCTGAAAATTCAGAAAAGCATCAAGAAATAAAACAAAATAAAAACAATCTGTACTCCCTCCACCACAAGCTAATGACTATTTTCATTGTGGAGTATTTGCTTCTATTCTTTGTTTTCTCCCACACAAACCTCTTATTTATCATTTTACAAAATTATTTATAGCACTCTCTCTATAGTATAACATACTGCAATTTTTACTTGTATCTTTAAATGACCTTAAATATAACAAAAGCATAAATGTCAATTCCTACATTCTAACTCAGACCTCATACATTTATTTAGCAAATCCTTTATTGTTAAACACTTAAATTGTTACTCATTTTTCAGCACTGTAATTAACAACTGGAAATCATTGCAAATACGTAAAGCATACATTTTAATACTGACATAATGTTCTACTGTATGCATGCCTCATACACGTTAACTAAACTCCATTTTGAACACTTAGGTTGCTACCAACTTTTCACTATTATAATTAACAACTAATAGACATTATGGTACAGTATAGTGTCTTTCCAAAGTATATGTTACAGATTATGAGTTTTACAGGGTATTGAAAGATATTGCAAAAAATGTTTATAACAGCATTGTTAGGAGCAAAAAAACTAAAAAGTCAAAATTCACTAATAGAATGGGTAGTCTACTATTCTACTATTCTAGTATGGTATAGTCACATAATGAAATGTTATAGGGTAGTATAAATGAACTCTGGCTATTTGCATCAATTTGGCTGAATACAAAAGTCTGACATTGAGCAAAAACAAAACAAAACACACACACATACCCAAAACAAAAAACAAATCTCAGAATATAAAATTTAAAAACAGGCAAAACCAAATGACGTACTGTCTAGGGATACACGTGATGGGTAAAATATATACAGAAAATACAGGCACATTCAATTCTGATAGAAGAAAGGAAATGTGTATAGTAAAAGAAGACACATAAAAAGCTCCTCTGGTAAGCTAAGAATAATGTTCTCATCCTTTGAGTCGTGGTTCTTTTTATTAGTGGTCTTTAAACTCTACATGCTTTTATACCCCTTGGTATATATGCTATATATAACAATTAAAAATAGATATTACTACAACCCAATTAATATGGGTTTAAAAAACTCTGACCGGACAGTTCACAAAGCAAGGTAGACAATGAGCATATAAAAGAATGCTCAGTGGAGAAATTCAACTTAAGCCCTGAGGCACCACTATCACCCCCCAGAATGGCTAAAAGGAGAAGTGCTGATGGGAATGTGGAGTGACTGGAACTCCACATCTGGCTGGTGGGAGTGTAAAATGGTACACTTCGGGAAAGGATGGGGCAGTTTCTTACAGAATGAACATCCACCAACCCACAAACCAGCAATTCAACTCCCATTATATACCTCAGAGAAATGAAAGCACATGGCCAGAGAAAGACCTGTAGAAGAATGAATATGGTAGCTTTGTTTATAAAAGCTAAAAATTGGAAAAAGCCCTGGTATCCATCAACAAAAGAATGAGTAAACTGTAGTACAGTGATTCCCAAAGTGGGCGCTACCGTCCCCTGGTGGGCGCTGCAGCGATCCAGGGGGCGGTGATGGCCACAGGTGCATTTGGGGGCGATGAGTAACTGCTATTAAAATTTAAAAAAAATTAATTTCCAGGGGCTGAGTAATATTTTTTCTGGAAAGGGGGCGGTAGGCCAAATAAGTTTGGGAACCACTGCTGTAGTATATTCATACAATAACAAAAATAAACTTCCAAATAAGCAACAACATGGATGAATCTCATAAATACTACGCTGAGTCCTGGCCGGTGACTCAGTTGGTTGGAGTGCCATCCTGTACACCAAAAGGTTATGGGTTTAATTCTGGGTCAGCGCACATACCTACATTGTAGGTTTGGTCCCTGGTCAGGGCATGTATGGGAAGCAACCGATCGATGTTTCTCTTTCTCTCCCTCCCTCCCTCCCTCCCTCCCTCCCTCCCTCCCTTCTTCTCTCTCTAAAAGTCAATTAAAAAAATTTCCTTGACTGAGGATTAAAAACAAAAACACTGCACTGAGTCAAAAAAGCTTTATACAAAAGAGAACATATTGTAGGATTCCATTTTTATAAAATTCTATAATAGTGTGGAAATGTAGATATTACTAAAAACAAGGGTCTTGCCCTAACTGGTTTGGCTCAGTGGATAGAGCGTCGGCCTACAGACTCAAGGGTCCCAGGTTCGATTCCGGTCAAGGGCATGTACCTTGGTTGCGGGCACATCCCCAGTAGGGAGTGTGCAGGAGGCAGCTGATCGATGTTTCTCTCTCATCGATGTTTCTAACTCTCTATCCCTCTCCCTTCCTCTCTGTAAAAAATCAATAGAAATATATTTTAAAAAAACAAATAAGGGTCTTGTTGGCATTTAAATGTAGAAACCACATAAGATGTGGAAAGGCGATTTCTTTGCTACTGGTCTTTTAGAGTGTCTGGTTTGCCCATATGCCTTGGGACTCATCAAGAAGGGGCTACGGGACGCAGCCTTACCCATACTCACGGGGCCAGAGCGCCTTTGGCAGGGCACCTTACGGGACCGTTTCCTGGACACCGTCTGAAAAGCACTGCTCTCCCCCTTTGGTCTCCGTGTTTACCTCTCTCTTCAAAATGAGTCTCTAGGAGAAAGTCCGTGACCATCTAAAAGGTTCTTGTCTAAATTGCTCACTCGCCCTCCGGAAAGGTCAGACCTGCTGACACTTAGAAAGTACCCATTTCCTTGCATCCTCCGTAACACTGGGTAGTACCACTCCCTGATCTTTGGTAGGTGAAAATGTAATCTTGTGGTAGTTAAAACTTGCATTACTTTCATGACAAATGGAGTCAAACATGTGAAAATGTTTCTCGGTCCTGGCCGGTGTGGCTCAGTGGACAGAGTGCCAGCCTGTGCATGGAAGGGTCCCAGGTTCAATTCCCAATCAAGGGCACATCCTGGGGTTGCAGGTTGGAATCCGTCAGGGTGTCTGCAGGAGGCAACCAATGGATGTGTCTCTCTCACATCGATGTTTCTGTCCCCTCCTCCCCCGCCCTTCCCCCCCCACCCCCGCCTTCTCTTCCCTTCCACTCTCTGGAAAAAAATATCTTCAGGTTGAGGATTAACAAAAAATAAATAAAATATTTATTAGTGAATTTCTTCTTTGGATTCACTTTTTCAAATATACCTGCTAGAGAAATATCTTTAAATTCTAGACCTCTACATCTCCATATTCATGAAAGTGGCTCATCTTTTCAAATAAGCAGCTCCCAAAAGGAAGGTCTCTACATGTGGAGGGAATGTTACTTGCGAAACGTGGGCACGTTATTCCTGTCCCTCAGGGGAGAGGTGGGGCGAGTGTCCGTACAACCAGTTAGAAGGTGAATGAGCTTTCAAATATCTAATAACTTCACTCCATTTCAACTTATTAGCAAATCCTTCTTAGCAAGATTTCTCCAAGGGTAATGTTAGAAGGTGATCTACAGCCCCTGCAAATCAGGGATTTGCAGAAATCAATCCCTACTTGCTTCGCTCAGACCTTTCTGGCAACTAGAGGGGCCGAGCACACTGGGTACTCAGAAGAGAGAGACGCACATGCCACTGGGGGCCCCTTTCAACGCAGAGAATGTTGTTAGATTGTTAGCTTTGCTAATCACACCAAGATTGTAGGTGTGATGAGTAAATAATTTGCCTCCCGCTTCAGCGGAGGCAAATCCCATGTCACTGTCCTCTGAGCGACTTCCTTTCTGCTGTTTGGAGAAGTGTGAATTACAGGGCTTACAGGGAACCCACAGAGGGGAAATCACCAGCCAGGCACGGCGAAATTAACCGGCGAAATTAACTGTCTCCCTTTACCTCAGGACCAGGCTGTCACAGGCCACAGAGACCTTTAGAAACAAAGCCACATCCAACAGGACAAGGGACCAAAGTCACCCACTGTGAACGAGAGGCCTGGAGTCGCCCTCGGGGGCACAGCTGACTCCACAGGAGAGGGGCTCTTTGTACTGACAAGACTGCCTGGGGCATGATCTGCAGACAGATTGTGGTCATGCCTGTAACTTCCTTTCAAACGCTTCCTCGCTGCTTCTTCATCGACAGTGCGAGGCCATGCATGTATGTTTGGGTTTACTTACACCCTCCGAGTGGTGAATTGACAATCAGGAGTTCGCACCCCAGGGCAGTGGGCTAGATTCCAACTGGGAATTCCCCTCGGGAGGCAGCCACCGGGAGTGCCCTTCTGTAATGTGTTATCTTGCTCACAAACGTTAGAAATGGGCTCTCCTTTGGTGAAATTAGGGCTATGCAAGACATGTGGATTGGCTAGAATATGCTAGAGACAGTCTCACTCTTGCTTGAACCAGGTAAAGAATCTAGAGGCTTAGAGTCCCCACTTTGGGGATGGCGACTGTCTGCCCTTAGGGTCCCGAGGAGCAGACTTGGAAGAGTTGAGTGTTTATAGTTTATTTGAGAGATGAAAGGAACTGGTGGGAAGGTGAGCAGGTGATGGGGGGGCAGGGGGGAGGGAGCTTAAAAGGGTGTGTTATTAAGCCAGTCACCACAGTGGGTAATGAAAGCTTAATTCTGTGGGAAAGCTCTGGAAGTGATGGAAAGGATACATTTCTGAAATCTGCTAGCTAAGAGACCAGGGAGCTGGGGTATTTATACCCCCACCCCACTGGTTAATTAATCCCCAGGCACTTCCGGCCGCCATGGTGTGGGCTAGGTGGGTTCCTGCATCTCAAGAGCAATCCTTCCATAAAGGTTCAGAGGTGGCTGCTGGCACTGAGAGAAACGGAAAGGGGATCTGGGCAGAGCACCAACAGCGTCTGCTACGGCTCCTTAGCCTAAATCCCTGTGTGGCCACGTGTCCGTTATAAGCCTGCAAGGTTCTTCTTGTCCAAACTGACTAAATAAGGAAAACAGAACCCGGCACCTGGAATGCCGATGGGTGCATCTGCCATTCACAGCGGTGGTGTGAGAGGGCCTGGGAGTCCCGAGAGCTGGGACTTCACCCAGCCCACGGAACAGGTTGCTGAGTAGCCTGTGCCTGCTTCCTTACAACTGTCTGTTGAATAAACATCTGCATGCGTGCAGCATTTGTTCCGAAACCTCCTTTCCTTATCATCCAGTAGTGAGAGCAGCTAACTCTCACCCGTCATTTTGATGTTATGACCCCTGACCCGCACCCTGAGAGCAGCACTGATTAAATGGCTCGGTCCGTCTGCAGTGTCCCTGCTCCTCTGCACGCAGCATGATGACTTAGTCTCAGGAAGCACATCCCCCTCCCCCAGGTACGAGAAGACCCCAGAGCTTCTCGCGCACGCACCCACCTGCACGGTGTAGCTTCCCAGGGTGGTGGCCGTTAAACCGACGGCCTTGCTGCTGGGACATCATGAACAGCTGAGCTAGGCGCTGCTCCATGACCCTGGCCGA